TACATACATACATACATACATACATACATACATACATACATACATACATACATACATACATACATACATACATACATACATACATACATACATACATACATACATACATACATACATACATACATACATACATACATACATACATACATACATACATACATACATACATACATACATACATACATACATACATACATACATACATACATACATACATACATACATACATACATACATAACGACAAATCAAAGTGTTAATCCATTTGCTACTTGATGTTTGACGGTTCAGTGTCACTCATCATGTTTTGGTTTTAACATACATACATACATACATACATACATACATACATAGCTGACGGCCGTGCTGAAATGTGTACCGGTGTACGACCATATCCCTAAGCCATGCAGGGAGAAGTTCGCATATAATCTGAACGCCTTGCTGACGGCTGTTTGTAATGGCCCTGGTGACCCGGCTCACTGGGTTAGACTCCACCGTTTTGTCCCATACGTCTTACAGAAGACTTCCAGAGGGGGTCGCCGAGTCAACCAGGGCAATCTGGTCAACAAGCGTCTAAGCGAATATTCAACTATTGGTCTTGAAACCCTGGTACTGTGGTTTGATGGGTTCAATAATGCCAAATCACAAAAGCAACGTGTCATCTTGTATTGAACAGGGAAACCTGTCCTCGGTTGTCAGACTTGTCTGTTCGCCGGAGGGCCTGGCGGAGAGCTCGCCAGCCACTTTCGATAAATTATGTTCCATCCACCCAAAAATTGCGGTGCACAGGCGGGTCTTTCCCGCATTGACACCAACGGCTGGTTGCGTTTCTCCCGCCGAGGTGCTGAAAAACGTTAAATCAGCAGGGAATTAACATACATACATACATACATACATAGCTGATGTATTGGTCTTGAAACCCTGGTACTGTGTTCATGTACACAGTACCAAGGATTCAAGTCCGGTACTGTGTACATTCAAAAACGGTTCTTCTGGAGGCCTAGATGGCCTACGACCCCAGCACCTTAAGGATGTTTTTTCAGGCCCCTTGCTAATTGACGACACACTGAACTCCTTAACTCAATTCATTAATTTGATCCTATCTGGAGCTTGCCCACTCTCCGTCCGCCGGTTCGTTTTTGGAGGCCGGCTAATAGCTTTAAATAAGAAAGACGGAGGGGTCAGACCGATTGCGGTCGGGAACGTTTGGAGGAGGTTGGCCGGCAAATGTGCCTTGGCCCTGGTCGTGGTCGAACTCAAGACCAAATTCTACCCGACTCAGTTGGGTGTCGGGATTAAGGGTGGCGCTGAGGCCGCTGTTCATGCAGTTCGAAGATTGGTCACCGACCTCCTCGATCAATGGGGGTTTCTGAAACTGGACTTTAAAAACGCCTTGAGAAGAGACTCGATGTTGGAGGCTGTCAAACTTTTTGCCCCAATTTCTATAATTTTTGCCATTCTGCCTATGGCGGAGTCTCTTCTCTTGGCTACCACTCTTGGGTTGTAGAATCGTCCGAGGGGGTACAGCAGGGTGATCCCCTTGGTCCTTTGCTGTTCGCACTAACTCTTCATCCACTCTTAGAGAAAGCTTCGTCCACTTTCGTTTGCGATTATCTGGATGATATCAGCATTACTTCGGACGGCCCAACTCTGGCCGATAACTACGAATATTTGAAGCATAACTCCGCTGCAATTGGTTTAGAGTTAAACATTAAGAAATGCGAACTTCACTGCCAAAGTTTATTTCAGGTGCCACATGCGCTGGCTGGAATACCCAGAGTTGGTGCATCAAAACTGAGTTTTTTGGGCACACCCTTGGTCGAGGGCGATTACCAAATAAAGTTTTTTGACCAAAAGCTCTCTGAGCTTAAATTCGCCCTGGGTCGTGTTTCCTGTCTTTCGGCCCATGATGCCTTGACTATTATCCGCAATGCCCTCAGTTTGCCCAAATTGATGTACTTCCTGCGTACATCCAAACACATTGACTCTTCTAAATTGGGCAAATTTGACAGAGCCCTGCGCACCGCCCTGTCGTCGATTTGCAATATTCAAGTGACCGACAGTGGTTGGTCTCAGACTCAGCTGCCGGTGCGATTTGGTGGGCTGGGGTTGCTTAGCGTGGTTCAGCTGGCTCCTGTTGTTTATAATTCTTTTGCCGCTGCCACTTTCGACCTGCAGTTTTCCCTGCTCCACCGGTTTTTCCGTTGCCGCAATATTCTTCCCCCGTGTAAGCCCCGGGGGACCGTACGCACGTCCAAATTTTGAACGAAGAATATAAAAAAATCTTTCAAAATTTGTTGTCTTCATGCGGCGACGACTTTTCTACCGCTCGTTTGTTGGCCATGTCCAGCGTTGCCAGCTGCGGGTGGTTGAGATTGTGGCCCAACACCTCTGTGGGAACCAGGCTTGACGACGAGTCTGTGAGATTTGCCATTGGCTTCAGACTTGGCCTGGATTCAAAATAAATACACGTGCCGATGTGGCGCTGGGGCGGACGAGTTTGGGCACCACGGTTTGGTTGGTCGCCTGGGTGGGGGCCGTCAACTACGTCACTCAGCATTAAACGACTACATTTGTCGGCTCTTCTCCAGTAAAGAATGCGGTTTGGCCGCGGCCAGGGCAGCGGACGAGAATATAAAAAAATATGGGAACGCCCTCCCCTCGATGGAATTCTTGCCAATATGTATCGAGGTTCTCGGCCCGATGGACCCCATCACCCTTAAATTTTTTAAGGAAATATGCAAAATGATCAGCGTCAGATCAGGCGACAGCAGGGAACATCAGGCGACATGCAGGAACATCAGGGAAGATCAGGCGACATGCAGGAACCGCTGCTTGTTGCAGCGGTTCCTGCATGTCTGTGTGCTTGAAAATATCCAACTGAATGCCGACTTGTGCAATTAACGACAAATCAAAGTGTTAATCTATTTGTTACTTGATGTTTGACGGTTCAGTGTTACTCATCATGTTTTGGTTTTAACATACATACATACATACATACATACATACATACATACATACATACATACATACATACATACATACATACATACATACATACATACATACATACATACATACATGTCGGTACGATGTCGCGAGCGGTTTGCATTAACGAGTTATTGTGTTATTTATTTAATAATTCTGACAAAATTGACGATGCGGAATTCATTTACGAAATAATGGATTTCTACAATTGTGAAGATATTAGAATAGCAAAAAAAATACTTACCAGCGATCTAGATGCGTTAAATCTAGAAAAAGATGATAAAATAAAGCCAAACAGTTCTGGAAACTCTAAAAAGGACAAGGTTAGTGATTTAATACTAACAATAAAAACAATTCTGAGCAACAAAATTGAAAGCAAATTGCCTCAGTATGCTGCTCTCAACCTTTTTAAAATTCCAAGCTCAAAAAAAGCTAAATTTGAGTCAATTCTTGACGAAAAGTTAAAAAAATTAGAAGAACTATTTATTGAAGAAAGAAACATCTTCCGAGAAATAGTAAATGATGCGGCTATTAACAATAGCCCAAAAGTAGAAAGAAAGCAGCAATCCGATTGCAAGACCGAATCGAGCAAGCAATCTGACTGGTCAGAGATTGTAAAACGTAAAATTAAAAAGAGCTCAAATGTTCAACACGTGGCGAATGTTCAACACGTGGCGAATGTTCAACACGTGGCGAATGTTCAACACGTGGCGAACATCAACATGTTGAAAACAAAGAAAAAAACACACAACACTAACATAGCAAATATGAAAACAGTTATAGGCACCCAAACTGATAAACAAACAAATTTGAAAGCGATGAAACCTTCGCCAAAAAGAAAAGTTTTTTACGTTGGTCGATTGGACCAACAATGCACTGCAAAAGAGTTAAGCGAACACATAAATGGATTGAAAATTGAGGTGCTTGGTTGCTCAGCAATCATAAACTCAACTTTTAATCGCCGCTCAAAGCAAGCTACAACATCGATCAACACACAAAACACGAACTCTGACAAAATCGATGTTCAACAGACAAGCGCTGCATTCAGAGTTTGTATTTATGAAACAGACTCAGGTGAGTTCATGAATGCAGAAAACTGGCCAGACCAAATCATCGTCCGCGAATGGTGTTTCAATGATCCGTCGGCAAATGTTGTCAATGACCTGTCGGCAAATGTTGTTTCAACTAAAAATAGCAATGAATAAATACTTCATAGAAGAGAATCTCGAAGAATCAAAATATTACACTGTAAAAGAATTATCTAACATAATAAAATTGAAGAATAAAATGAAAAACAATCACCTACCAATCATTCATCTGAATGCTCGAAGTTTGTTTCATAAATTATTAAATCTAGAAATCTTCTTAAAACAATTCGACGACTTTTTCAAAATTATAGTAATATCAGAAACGTGGTTGAACAATGAAACAGTTGATTTAATTAAGTTAAATAATTACAATTTTGTATATAAAAATAGAAAAAGCAAACGAGGCGGAGGTGTTGGTGTGTTCATAAAGCATGACATCAAATATGTTGTAAATGATAACAGTGCATTTGATGATGAAAATGTCGACGTTCTCTGTGTGGACATTGAATCGGGGCATGCTTCACCTAGGGGTGTGCTAAAAGTTATCGCGATATACCGCCCACCCAATTATAAATTTGAGCCTTTTTTAAATAAAATCAATTTGATTTTACACGCCATCAAATCCGCCGACAAAACTGTTATAGTGGGCGACTTTAATGTTAATTTATTGGACAATGATTCAAATGATTCTAAAGACTTTCAAAATCTACTATTTTCATTTTGTTTCTCGCCTT